ACAGCAAAAACGCAAAATAACGAGTGGAATCAAAAAGTCTAAGCGCAAAAAATCAACAGATATTTATTTTTTTTTCACAAGATAGAACATTTTTATCGCTCCTGAATACAGCCATCAACGTGATAATGTGATATATTTATGAATATCAATATCGCCTGGATGATCACTGTAAGCATCCGATGTCAGTGATGCTACTGAAATGCTTCCAAACATTGGGCTATGCCAGGGCCTTCAGTATTTATATAAATCGGCTAATTCTGAGCCGGAAGAGTTAAACTAAACCTGTTGAATTACAATTTTGAAATTCTGTGGACTTTTCTATCCCAAGGAATTCCCAGGGCCCATGCTAGTTGATGAGATGCTCCAATGCAATGGTTTTCTAGTTTTGTTTCTAAAAAATCTGTTCACTGCTGAACCCTACATTTCCACAGATTCACTTTTTTGCACACAGTAGAGTCCAAGACCAGCTAAGGAATACATTTTTTTTAAAACGGATATCACTTTTTCAGTATCAAAAGTCTTCTAATTGTTCTACCTAATAATCTCTTCACTAGCAAATTTTTCCTAAATGCTATCGAAAAACGATATTCCCGTATCCGAGTTCTCTGAAAGCGATAGAGCTGAAACACCTTTGAGTATGATGCTAAACGTCAAACTACTGAATTAACATGAAAATAAAATGAGCAATCGAAAAGTTTCGAGGAATTTTAGTTGTAATATAGAGTACAAGACTAAAATCGCCGACAAATGCTTGATGAGGTAATTCCAAGAGTAGCTGGTGAGATCCGGATATCGGATGCCAGATGAATGGCGTGATCAACGATGTCAAATTTCGGTTGCACAAATGAGAACGGTAATTTTGCGGTTGGTAGCTGGACGACGAATCCTTTTATCAACGCATCGTTTGCCGTCTAAAATTAAGCACAGATTTTATTCAAATCCACAAGCTTCCGATGTCCAGGATGGAGCTTCAGTCTGGAAAGCTTAGCAGGCCCACTTTTCATTCAATATGGCGCCTCAAAAATTTCAATTTTCCGAACAGTTTTACTATTTTCGAAGCAAGCTATATGACCCCTTGGCTTATCCCTGCAGTAACAAGAAATGCTTCCCGCTATGTTCAATAAAACAGAAAACAAACAAAAATTTCACTGCCAACCACTGCTTACTCTAATTTTCTTTCAATGAATCCCGATATTTTCACTCAACCCAGAGGATGGGATTTTTCAGGCCATGTTGGTCTCGTAAGGTCATGCTAACATGGGAGAAGGTATGGATCCCACTCTAATAGTTGTGGCACAGTGTTTCCAGAATAGGAAGTTAACAACCTTTGAAAGGAGCTCCTTAGCCAAGTTAGCCAGATTGTTGAGCGCATCCTGAGGTAGTCCGAGCGTTTGCTGCTTATCGGTTAATTTCAGAGATCGTATATCAGCAACACCAACAATTCGATTATTGGACGTATAAATGCTTGTTTCCAGAACACCGTTCATCACCATTGTTCCCACTTTTTCACCGCTGTCATCGATATATAGCTCCGCATCCAATGCCACACTTATTGTTGCCAAACCTGGAAATTTTTAAGTTGTGAGTCAGCCAAATAATTTAAAAATAAATGATTCGGAAAGAGATTTTCTGCATGGAAAGAAGGTTGCAGTTGAAGCTGATTCTTGCTGACTAATCTACTAAATTCCCCCTCTTCATTACCAAGTCGTAAGCCGTGCAAATATCTTCAGTTCGATAAAGTCGGTATCAGAATTCTTTCCATATTTTGCTTTCCGGGCGAAGCAAAAACACCAAGTAATAATACACGGCATGAAGCATTCGCTGAATAGAATTTTTAGCTAACTGCCTAATGCAGAATGAATGTCTTGAAATCAGTTTCAAATTTCGTCTTTTGACCAACGATTTCTATGCCTATAACTGCCGAAAACAACAAAACAACGAATTCGAAATCATGATACTTTCTTTGTGCTAGATTGTCTGGAAGCAAGTCATGAAAAGGAATCCTACATCTATTGGCTAGCCCATTAAATGGTCACTCATACTGCCCACTTTATTTGTTTTTCTTAACGGCGTTTTTAAAATATGAAAAAAAAAACTTTGGGTTAGCAAGTTTCGATAGTACCAACCTGTTATCTTTCTCCTCTTCAAGAAACCTAGCTTAACCTTTGGATTTGCTTATACCAGAACTTTTTATAGAACGCTGGACTGACCGTGCTAAAAAGAATGCAACGCACCTCCACCTTTAGCGGATAATAGCACAGATGGGGCCCGAGATGAATGAATCTTGATGTGGAGCAATTTATTGGGATATTTTTCCCTGATCGCTGGCATTATATCACCCAGACACACTCCTAGATTCACTAATCCATCCTCTTCAGCTGTTGTTTCTCTTTTCGAACGTTTTTTACTTCCCGAAGAAGAAGCTGTTGTAGTTTTTACTTCCTCATCCTCCTCTTCTTCATCCTAAAAATATCAAAATTTTAAACTCAAGATGGTCAATACTGTGAATTTTTGACTGGTTATGAAGTTTGTAACAATGACATATATAAAATACAAGAAAAATAAACAGCGAAAAAGGGATATTTCTAATTCATAAATAACAAGTAACGGGACTGGCTACACTGATAGCGAGAAGGAACGCGACAATGCAACAATAACTAATCAAAGAAACACAAAACAGGAATGAAACATAAGCTTTTTTTTACATCGTCGTTGGATTCATCGAGATCATCATAATCTCCTTCATCGCACGTCGTTTTGAGCAAGGCACCAACTTTCGGCGTGTCCGGTCCCACTCGAAATGTCATAAAATCCCGTCTGAATTTACAAATAAATCGGTGAAGTCGTGCAAAGGCTTCTAGTATTACAAACAATGAACTGTTATGATACAAGAAAAAAAGTAGGTCTGGTGCGGAACAACTGCAAAAAGACTCTCTCGGGCCGACTGAAGAATAGGATAGGCTAATTTTTTGCCACGACAAGCAAGACTATCCAAGCAATCGGTATAAGTATCTAACGTTACTGGCACATACCGATTAGTAAAAATACTTTCTGTTAGAACCCTGCACTCGACCGATGCGAATGCAGAGACCTAACAGCAAGTATTTTCAATGTATCACCTCTTCAGATGTATGTGCTTCACCTCCTCGTTCTAG